CTATGTGTGACAAGACTAGGCCAATGGAAGAGCAAAAATACCATTCTGGTCTACTCACCATGTCTGTACACTAGAAACATGTTCACATCACTCAGCGCCTGCAGTGTTAACCATAGAATAAACTTAATATCTATGCAGTATGTTCTAGAAAACATGGCACATGTCACATTGCTATGTGGTAAATCTGAAAAAATAGCTTTTTTAAGTTAATCATATTGCTCTGCTAATTGAGTAAAATTAAATGCTGGCTAGTACTAGAAGTTATATTGCTGGGAATTTTGGCACTTGAAGGATGGAGGGAGAGGCAGGAAAAAGATTGATTTTTAGAGATCAGGTTTGATTTCAGCATTTAGATATAAAGATGATCATGGGAGGCTTTATGTAAGTGTTTATGTAGGTGCAAGTATAAAGCTAGACCAGACCTGTTGTATCAGAAGCATAGTTGAAACTGGTCTGTTACAATCAAATTCCTACATTTCTTGCACATAGGGTCCTGTGGTACTTCAACATCTCAACATTCAGTATCTCCTGTCGCAAATGGAAGCTAAATTTTAATTTATGGGTGTTGTCACAGAACATCAGACATCAAAGCATGTTACAGTTTTAGATTTATGCATTTGGATAAAGTTCGGGTATTTGCAGTACTGTATAGTTCTACATGTATGTTAAGGTACTCCTGACCAAACTCTCCAGAAACTTCTGTCACTATTTGTTATGAAGGCATGAAGAACATGAATGCTGACAGTAAACAAGATGCTTATCAGGTTAAGATATAATCTTCTTGTTCAAACCTGTCTTTTTCAGAGAGTTATGTATTGTCTAATTGACTTCTTCAAAGGCTAGTGTCCAACTGGTTTGGAATAGTTGTTAGATAAGGCACTATCTCTCCATCTATTTGCCAACATGTCCTTTTATTTTGCCTAGAAAATTTCTTTAGGTGAAATCTGAGGACTCTAGATATTTGCAGAAACTCTGTGGATATTTGACATCTTGAGTTCTTCTTGAAGTATGTATAGATGATCTATAACTGCACAAGGTGTACAGAAGATCACATCCATCAGGGAAGTGCTGAACCATTTGCATGTATATTGCCGCAATGGTCAGTGTGTGCATAGCTAATCCAGTGTAGTTCTGGATGCTTCAGACTGGATGCATGGGCAGATCAACTGGATTGTGCAATTACACGGATGCAGCTGAATAATTTCAGACTTATTCTGCATGTGATTTACACATGGTCCATGCACACAGAGTATGCTCTGGAGTTATCTGGTTTACAACAATGTATAATACAAAGTATATATGAATATATTCTATTCTTAAATGTTCAGAGTACCTTTTTTTCCAAAATTTGAAATGTTTTGCCTACTGATAACACTGCTTATAAGAAAGTCACTCAAATCCAATTGTAGATGAAGAAGGAAAAAAAAAAACTCATTGACTCCAGAAGGAGAGTAGGAAAGAACTTAGTAAGAAATCTATATTTTGTGTATTTCTATATTCTTTTTTCTGTTGAATTACCAGTGCTATGCTAAAAGGAAAAAAAAAAAAAAAAAAAAAAAAAAAGTAAATTTGGATGGTGTAATCAATCTGTACTTACTCAATTAATATTTAGTAAATTGTTTGACAGAAATCAGAAGGATGTCAGTTGGTATGCTGGCCTGGTATTAATTGTTATCCATCCCTTACACAGATATGTGAGAATAAATTTATCATCTATAACAAAGGAAATACAAACCTTTCAGTTAACCACTGTGATATGACAGATGAAAGTGACTTGGAATTAAGACTAGTGAATTCTGTTAGGTATTTGATACTGATTTTTGAATGTATTGAAGACTTCCATTTGCAATTCTGAAGACTTATAATCATGAAAATCCGTGAAGAAAAGGAAGATGTATCTGGAATATCATATAATCTGCTAAGTAGAGGATAAAAGGTATTTAATCTTCATAAAGTCTTCTGAAACATTTTAAGTATGGCCTACTTAGATTTAGATACATCTGAAGGTATGTCTGCCTAGCTTCATGTACATTTGTCAGACCTGTGAACATTTTAGGATTAATTATTGAAAAATAGTGTAAAGTTCCTTTCTACAGAAAAAAAATTACAAGTATTATTAGAAAAGCCCATAGAATTTTATGGTTTTAAACTCAGTATGTAAACACAGTAGCTGAATCAAATGTTTTTGCAGCATAACTAACCACTATGAAGTAGTTTGCTTCTGTGCACCTTTAGGCAAATCCTGCAGGTTTAGCTCCTTGTTCTGCATGCCAGTTGGGGACACTCAGCTGAACTAAAACGTGATCCTGATAGAGCACCATAGGGTTTCAGAGCTCTTCTTTGCTGACTGCTTGCTGGATGTCCACTTCCTTCCTCTTCAAAACATGAAATTGCCCTTGCTACTATCCAGTACCTCTTCCCACTGTGCTAGGACTCCTTTGGCTTGCTGTTCCCTCACTGGCCACCACGGCAGGGAGCACCGAGTGCTGTGTACAGAGAGGTTTTTGGACAATTAAGGGAATTTTCAAAGGAAAAATGGGAAAGGGGAACACCAACCTCCTGGATCTCACAAGAAGGATGAGAAGGAAAAGCAGACATGGCTGTGTAGCCTCATTTGCTGGTGCCTATGAGGATTATACCTATGCTGAGAGAGAAGAGGAAGAGCAGAGGAATAGAGAGGCCTTTGTGCTTTCCTTTGCCAAATAAGCTGAGCAGAGAACCTGACTGTCTCTCTTGAGTCTCTGTATCACCCTGAAGCCCACAGAACAAGTAGTATCCACCTACAGCTGTGGCTCCCATAATATTTGAATATTATCATTCTCTCTTAGTATGAGATCTGTTTCACAAATTATGATGCCACTTACAGGATCAATTTGGGGATCAGCAAGGTCAGTGATGTGGCTAGTAGTTTTTTCTCCTTTCCCAATATCCACAAGGTGTGGATAAGCATTAAGAAACAATGTCAAAATGTACAAACTGTGAGTTTATAACTGTTCAATAGTTAAAAGACTGAAGAATCTATTCCCAGAAGTAAACAGAACCATGAAATGGAGAGCTGGGAGATGTCTGATGGATGCTCTCTATGTGGAGGAAGAGAAGATTTTAAATCTTTGTTGGTTGAGGTACAATTTCTTATTTCCTATTCCCCCCTAGTGGAGACAGAACAGGATGATTCCATTTCCTTTCAACACCAGAAAGAAGGGAAAGCTTTAGAGAGCAATTTTTGTCATGAGTCTGCATTCTCCATGGGTGAATACTTTGTGTTTTGGTAGGCGATTAGATCCCTTTCATATTTTTACAGTGACAAATCTGCCACCTCAATTCTTTACAAGTCATTCCTCTCATTGTGGGTGATGATTCTATCATCAAGTGAAATATATTACTTTAAATTGTTCTGAGAAATCAAGAAAATTGGGGTTTCAGAGTCCATAAGCATTCTGACCTTTCTTTTTTATTTTATCCGCTGTATTCCACTACTTGATACATATGTGTGATTAAGATGTTTGTGCTCACCCTGTCATCAATGATCTAGAGGATTTGGGATTTATTACTTAATATATTTTAGTGACCTTCTTTTTCATTTCCCAGCTATGTTTTTCTTCCTTCTCCCTTTATTTCTCAGCTAATTTCTTACTCTCCTTAGAGACTTTTCCTTAATAGAAAGTTCAACCCTATCTGTATTTGCTTCCCTTCCTGCTCCTTTCCCAGTATTATGTTCCACCTGCCTTTTTATTTTTATTTGTTTTTATATTTGCATTTTTATCCTGCTAAACTTCTAATCTTCCAATTTTTACCTGTTCATACTTTTCACTTTCTCCACTAATACTTTCTACATTCATTTACAGTCTCCTCGTTTCCATTTTTTTCTCTATTTTCCTCATCTTTTTCAGTTTCTTTCCATAATTCCTGGTTTTGTTTTTCACCTTTTCATTTGTCTTAATTTGTTTTCCCCCTAACATCTCTTGTATGCTTACTTCTCCATCATTCTATATCTCTATCTTATTTCAATGAGTACTGACCTGCATTGGCCCTTAAGTCTCCTGAAAGGATGACTGATCATTTCGCAAGGACCTAAGCAATGGTGGAGACTGCAAATATCTCTCTATATTCAGGCATGAGGGATATATGTGCCATTGTGTGGCCAAATATGCATTTCATCTGTACATCTGATATAATCAGAAAATTATTCCATAGCATGAATGAAAGATGCCAGATTCGTACTTTTAACAGGACCTTTTTTTTCCCCCATGGGTTTTATTTTCTCAGTTGCGACATATAAATAGGTATGTATATTAGAATACTTCGAGAATTATCCAGTTACAGCTATTGAATAAATAACCAAATATATATTAACAGTTAAACTGAAATATAGTTATCTAGAATAAATACCTGTACAAAAAGTTACTTGGAACCACTACTTTACTACATTATAATATGCAGACTTGATTTTTATTTGTTTAATAGAAATACTGATTCTATTGTTTTCTGTGCTTGTTTTCTGATACTCTTGCTGAACTCAGTGGAAATTTCTACATTAGCTGTGATGAACTGTGCTATTTATAGTTACCAATATAATCCTGATTGATTCCAGAGGAATGTAAGGTGATTTTAAGACAATTAAGTGTTATGAGGAATGTTATCAATATTATCAGTGTTACCTGATTGTTAAGTATCATTCTTTTGTTTAGTTGAAGTAATAGTCTGTTACAGTCCTAGAGTTGAGAAATTACTGCAGTTCATATAAATAGCATAAGAACTACACTAGTGTCTCTTACAAAGGTCAAATCTCCAACTAAACTGCTTATTTTATCTTTCTTTACATAATTTTCAATATAGTGTATTTGAGCATTCCAACATAGCATAAACAAAAAGATCTAAAAATAGATGTTATATCTTTCTTGGTGATTTTAACATGTTTGTTTGAATTTTATTTTTTGCTTTCTTTTAGTATTTTCCTATGCAGAAGAATAAATGGTAATTAAAATGTGCAGGATGAAAAGATGGAGCAGTCAGTGCTTGTACCACCAGGACCAGACAGCTTCCAATACTTCACTAGAGAGTCTCTTGCAGCTATTGAACAACGCATTGCTGCAGAAAAAGCTAAGAATCCTAAACAAGATCGTAAAGACAATGATGATGAAAATGGGCCAAAGCCAAACAGTGATTTGGAGGCAGGAAAAACACTTCCATTTATATATGGTGACATACCTCCAGGAATGGTGTCTGAGCCCTTGGAAGACATGGACCCATATTACATCAATAAAAAAGTAAGTCTAATATCAGTCCTGTTCATATGCTCATGTTTGGAGTGCTTAATTATATTAATTTAATTTTCATGCAGTGGGTTATATAGCTTGTTACTTCAGTCTGTTAATTTGCAACCATGTAGGAAAACATCATTCTAATAATGTAGAAACAGTAGATCAATGCTAAAAGCACTAGGTGTACAACAAGAGCAGAAAATGTTTTATGCTAGTGATATATATACATTCTGCCTTCCAGAAAGTTAATAAATAAATATTTAATATCTTCTAGTTATAAAAAGTTGATTTAGCTAATGTATGTTTTTAGAATACATTTACCCTCATGTGTCCTTGGCACACTGGTCCTCCTGCTTTACATAAGGAGGAATTTTGCAGTAAAACTATTTTTAGAATTAAATTAATTAAATTGGCAACAAATGTAACATTATGACTGATTGTATAATATGGTTGTACAATACCTGTAGCAAGGTATAAATAAATAGTGTGAAAATCTAGGCTTCTATTCACTGCTTTCTCAATTACCAAAGTGCCCACTGTCATCTATGGTACAGAACAGACTCCATCATCCTTAATGGTTACTAGCCTTTCATCCTTTTATTTTAATTTATAACAAAATTTATTACTTTGGTATAATTTAATTTATATCAAAGGAACTTTTATATCAAAGCTGAAACATAGCATGTTGTCTTTGATTATAAGCAATGTATAATACCTATACAAACATAATAGATGACATACTTTGTAAGCTTTAAAAAAGTGAATATATATTTTACACCAACACACCACCCTTTCTCTAAGGTTCTTCAGATTTAAAACTGACAGCATGAAGCAATACATAACACATTTTGTTCCTAGAAATCTGCTTTGATAGAAAATTCTTAGGAAATTTATAAAATCAATGGAGAAACACTGGATAAGAAGAAAATATCATAAAGAGAATGTAAAACTAATTTAAAAGTTTCTGGTGGAACTGGTCTTGAACAGCCCTGGAATCCTTTCAGGATTATTCTGTTGCACAGCCCATATGCAGCAGAAAGGGTTCACAGTTTACAGTGACAACTAGATTGGGTGATACTTTAATTATTAGATAGTGTGATTATGAAAACTGTATAAATATCAAGACAGGAATTATTTTGACTTTTACAGAATGCTGTGTTCTAAGTGTCACAGTTTGCTAAATTTCATGTGATTTTTGAGTCCTGTTTTGACAAGAGAGAAAATACTATGTGAAAGAACAATATTTTTGTCTTCATTATTTGATGCCTCTGAAAGAGCCTTTATCTGCCCTTCACAGTGCATGAAGATTTATCTTTAAATCACAGTTCTACTTTTACAAAGACAAAAGATGCGTTTCTATAAAAGCAGGCCTTGTAGAGTACTAATTGTGTTTATTTATGATACAAAATGACAAATAATTATATCCCTACCTCCCCACAGCTCATCCTGGACACTTATAGTCAAGTCACTGTCTTGTGTGTTTTACAGTGAAAACAGATACATGATACTTATGACCTACAGGTACGCTTTTAGAGCCCTTAGAAATGGAAGACCCTTTCAGTGCCTTCACAGGTGGAGTTGAAAACGTATTACATGAGGCAGGTCTGATGACAGAATTGCAAGAAATGGAGTGAAACCAGCTGAACATATTCAGCCAAGTTTCTCTACTATTTGAAAGGAAGAATCTTTTTCTTTGCACACAAAATAACTTTTACGGGCAATTCACATACCTGCTGAGATTCTCTTCTTTGTGCTGAAGTCCACACATTCTCTCTATGCACATGCTTTAATCTTCTGCAGGACAGAAATTGAAACAGCCCTGTCAGCCAAAGATAAGACAAAAATTTCTCACACCCTACAATTCTCTCTGTTATTTCTTCCTTTAGTGGGAAGAAAATAGACTTTCCTAACAGAGAGATCCAACATCTATTTCAATTTTACGACAGTAATTTGACTTTAAAATATCCAATTCCTAGATTTTGTTATCTAGTTGTATGTGAATTCTGGAAATACTTTTATCTTATTTCACTTGTCTTTTGAGAGTATTGGTAGCAGTTGATGCTGCTGCAAGTCTCAGAAAGAGAAATTGTTTGAGAAAAGCCTGAAGCAGATGTTAACATCTCCAGGAAGACATGAAGGACTCGTAACACTCAATGCATTTACTTCTGTACCATTTAACATTTCACCTTTCTCTTTATTCCTCTCTGAATTCCACCTTGTAAAAGCCAAGGAGTCAAACCGCACACCCTCTCCCAATGTAATGGTCAGACAACTGCTGCATGTTGGTTAGAGATTTTATATTTCTGCCTGAGGAAGTATCTATCTGAAATGATAGGGATCTAATGAAAAACACTAGAATGAAGGAAAATACTTATTTGTAAGAAAGGGTTAGGGTAGGTGTATGGATTAGCAGATGCCACTATTGCTTCAGACCTCTATTAAGACCTCTGCATAAAGTATACCTGATCCATCGACAGAAACTATATCAGTCTGGCTTCCAAACTTTCAAACAGGGAATAGAAATGGTTACCTACAGCACTTATCAAATTATACTAATGAGCATGAGTGTTTATTCAGGAAACCTGTGTAAGAATTTTGGGAATATCCTTTTTATTCCAAATTTGAGCCATGGGTGTGAAATCATAATTTGCCTCATGTGCAAGTATTGCTTCCCACTTGCTGAGGGGTTTTTTGCCTATTTTCATAGCAAGATTGAACAAGTTCACTGTATTCTTGCATGCATTGAATGCTGAAACATCATCTAGAGTGTTTTACATTTCATCTTTGTAACTTTTTTTCTAAGCAATAGGTTTGTGCATGCCATGATTTGATACAGTTTAATTCAAAAAAGACAGGGATAAAAAAAAGTGTAAAGCTGGTGTGAGAGCTTTAAGCTGTGGATAAGGTAGCCCTGAGATGAAAAGTTAAAAATTAGAAAACCTGTTAAGAAAAACAAAAACAGATAGGTGTGCTATTTTTATGGTTTTGTAACTGTGCCTTTATGCAAAACCTGCAACAGAAGAGGACGTATTAATGCCTGATATGAATCTGAAGTTGAAAGTAAAAGGAAAACATTTACAACCACTGTTTGACAACAGAAAAGCCAAGGTAGCAAATTTACACACCTGATAGTATTATTGATTTACATTGTATCACAGATAGCCTGAATGCCAGCAAATGTACCCTTGGAACATAATTATTTTATTATATAAGACAATACCTGTTCTTATAATCTTATGTTCATATAATGAAATGGTGGTCAATAATGCTGGTGTTTAGAACTGTGAAGTTTAACATTTCAAATAGTTGCAATGCTCTTTTTTTTTTTTTTTTTTTTTTTTTTTAAATCCAAAATTGAGTAAAAATGAACTTGGACTTTACCCATTTTTTTTGCATTTGACTTCTGTGTAAGTGCAAGTCAGCGTTTTCCCAGTATAATAGTGACTGCCTGTTCATACCCAAGCTGCCATCACAAAGGATGAAGGAGGTTTGCATCATTGTCTATAGAGAAAAGATCAGCTGGAAACCCACAAGATCCTGACCTGCAGTCATGCATCAAAATCTAGTCCACCTGGATTCATGCTTTAAGGGTTGACTATTTTCTCCTGAACCTAGGCTGCTACATTAAAGAGGAGGGAAAGAATAGGTGGAACAAAATGGGTCTTCCTTCACTTTCCTCTTGCTATAATATAGATATAGCATTGTTGATTGCCACTCCATGCCCTGCCTCTTGCCAGAAGAATGTTGAACAAAGTCTGTCAGAAAAGGAGCTTCCTTTTGTCCTGGCAGTTGGTAATATCAATCCCTAATCTGATCAAACCACTAGCTCCTGGGTTTCTCAGATTTGTATTGGGTTGCAGAAACAAAAATAGTCTGTAAAATTGCTTTACTAAATTTCATTACATCAGAAAAGGTGAATGCACTAGTGATTTTAGATATTTTTTATAGTTGTAAGCAAAAGAATTTTTAATTGAAAAGTTCTAGCAAAACAAAAAGTTAAGATCTTGTTATAAAACATGGTTTCACAAAATAACCACAAAAACAAGAAACGACAACTTCCAATATGAGTCTCTTGTTCTATCTGCCCCTGAGATTTTTCCCCAAGAAGCTAAGGACCCAGCTCAACCATATATCACCTCTTGCCTTTCAGAAGGTCTTATGAGGTTTTAGATGGTGTTTATTTAACTGTAGGAAGTGGAAGTGCAATGGAGTAGCAGTCAGCCTGCTAAATGTAGCCTTCCAGAAACAATATTTAAAGCTAACTGAGAGGAAGAAGAGGAGAAATAAGGTTTTGTGAACTCAAGAGGTTCTTGCGTCCCAAGAGGTTCTCGAAGACTATATCTTTGTTCAGTGTGGACTCTTCTTCCCTCTTAGCTGCATCTTCTCAAAATATTTCTCCTTCTTTGGAGAAAGAAATGCTAAGAATGCATTTCCTGGGGTTATATCAAATATGGCAGAAGTTACAGAACTGGGATCCAACTTACAGATGCAAAAGTGGAAAATCAGGGACTTCTCTTTAGGGATTTCTTTGAATTTATGTTCACATTCAAATACTTTGAGGGTGATCAGATTTCCTGCCTTTATAAAATGATTAAAGCACTTTATAAAACCTAAGCTCTGCAAAGTATACCTAATCTTTCATATACAAACATTAATCTTACACTTTGTTTAGAATTTGTTTAGCTTTTCTCAGTGTATGTCTGCTTTGTCCTGACAGCTTTAGGTGCAATGCTTCATATTCATCCACACTGCCTACATATTGGCTTCCATCTGGGTTGAGTCTGGAGTGAGATATAGCAGGCTTACCAGGAAGGGAAGCTTACACAGGGATTGGATATCAGCTGTTATCTGTATTTTTTATGGAAATTCTTCTTCAGAGATAAGATACAATTTTAGTTCCTGTTTAAGGCTGGAATTCAGAGGACCAATAAAGTCATTCTGAAAGCTCCAGTCACAAAGATGCTTTGAGTGAAAAATTAAAACTGAGGTAGAGAATTTATGTCTTGTTGGTTCTGCTTATGCAGGGCAGCAGAAAGTGGAACAGCTAAAATAGCAGCAGCTTCCAACTGAAACTGTAGCTGTGCCAGCATGCTGTTATTTTCCATAAGGCACAATAGAAGAGAGATGTATGTTTAATATGCTTGCATTCAAAGATTTTTTTTTTTAAATGTAGATTGACTAGACATAGGTGATATCATCTTAGATACAAAGTGAGTAGGGAGTGTGATTTTTAATATATTTTGTGAACTACCCTATAGCTAAAAAAATCAAGAGCTTGAGCTGGAGGCTTCTGAGCTGTGTGTCCTGTGGCTTTGAAAATTGTTATTATCTGTAATCCATAACTGGAACTGTAATTTGGAAACATTAGCTCAGGCCTTATCCCACTGTCCTCAGTTTCACATGCTGTTTCTCCATTTCTCTGCAGAAGCAGGGAAACCAAATGCATACCTTACACCATTCCTACACATCTTGAGTTTGTACTGAAGACAATATAAAGTCTCACTATTAATGTCCCTTACTCTTAAGCGGTTTGGTCTGTGTAGGAGGGTGTGCTGTGTAGAGCTATGATGGAAAGAATATTCAGGGAAAAAGCCAGCAAGTGAGCTGGACTCAGACAGCTTTTCCTCAGGGCTTAATCTCTCCTTCTTCTCTGCCTTCAGTACTTGGTATCTGTCATAGACCAGTGGAAACCCCCATCTCCATGTCTCTCTCCACCTCCTGGATGCTCCTAGAGATTTATATTTGTACTTCATGGTCCATACATACTAATTTTCTCAAGTTTTCTCATGTCTAAGCAAACTGAAGAATCATCCTTCTTGAACCTCCTTCGCATATTTTCTCTGTCTGCCAGCCTTCCCAGAAATAGCCTTGTGGTCTGCTTGCTTTTAAAGTCTTGAAGCCATGCTCGACGTCATGGACACCAGAAGAGACCAATATACACTTTCCCACACTTCCACTGGCATTCTAGTTTACAGCTCACTCCATCAGCATTGTAATGAAAAACAGGGAGGTTTTATCATAGCTTATTTGTGAAATGCACAACTCTGACAAAACAAAACAAAACAAACGAAAAAAGCTATTTTGGACATTTCCTTTAATTCAGTTTTAATTTAGGCTATAATCCTTGCATCATCCCTTCCACTGCATGCAGCTTTGTTCCAAGTTACTGAGCCTTCCTTCTGCAGTGTTTTTCATTCTTTTCTGATTGATCTTGCAGTTGAAGAGCACCTTAGTGCCACAAAGGAACCTGACAGTCCACATTTTGCATGCTGTAGTGTTAATGCTGTTGCAGTCATGATGGCCTACAGTGGAAGCAAAGCAATGTTTGTAGGTTTTGCTCTCATATAATTTATATTTGGCTCAGGGATTTATTTGAGAAAAATAGACAAACTCAGTCTACGGAGTCTTCTACAATTCTCTCAAGTAAGACTTGCATACCTTTAAGTTTCTCTAAATTTGATAGGCTCTTTGGCTGTTAAAATTAAAATTTAGCAAGTATGTATGTTCCGCAAAAGTTTCACACTTGCAAACCAGAATTGTGCAGGGAGGTCATCTGGGATGTATCTCTTGTTCTCCTCCAGTAAGGTTTATTCAGATACCCACAGTCTTCAGAGATCTACCTAATCATGGCTATATGTGTTAGTGCTATTTCCCTCTGTCCTTAGCACAAAGACCAAGAAACAGACTAGATTAAAAAAAATACAAACAAATGGGTACTCTATTAAATCAATTTCTATAAGGATTTCTTTTACTAAGACATCATTAACATCCACAGGTAAGGTTTCTCTGCTTATGGTATTTCAAATGGGAACAGAGTGTTTTCTATGGGAAAACATAAATAAAATTATAATTTTAGTTAATTTCTTCACCTTTTTTGCATTAAACACATAATGTAAATGTATCATGTTATTATACTGAGATTGTTTAATGAAGAAGTAGCATAAAATATTAATGACTTGAATATTCTGTATTTAAAGTTATATTTTCATATGTTAGGCGCATCAGGTAAGTACTGGAAATAAGTTTTATTTTTTAAATGAGTCATAATTGTTGTATTTTAGCTATTCAAAAAGTTACAGTTTTGGTGATTGGTCACCAGGAACAGTTTTAAAATGAGCATCTACAGTGAATACGCACTTATAAAATGTCTTTTCTTTCTCTTTTTCAGACCTTTATAGTATTGAATAAAGGGAAGGCAATCTTCCGATTCAGTGCCACCTCTGCTCTGTATGTTTTAACTCCCTTCAATCCTCTTAGAAAAATAGCTATTAAAATTTTGGTACATTCATATCCTTTTTCAATGGTTGTTCAAAATGTTACACACTAAAATTAAGAAAACTCATAACTCTTTCTGTTTCATTGTAAATAAAGGTTTTCATAGGCTGTTTTTTTAATTATTATTTTACAGTGGAAGACTTATGGTGAGGTTTTATAAATACTAGAAAATATGTGTATATCATAGAGATGCATTTTAGCTATTCTGTTAAATTTGAATAGTTGTGCTGTACAAATCTGCAGATGGATTTAAGAATCCATCTTGATCAATTTTTCAGAAAAGTTTCTTCAGATTTATTCTAACATGGAAATTTTTTTAACCCCAGATTCTTGTTTCACTATGCAGTTTGTGCTCACAAATTCCAGAAGAGCTCTGAGTTTTTCAAGCAATTAGGCAGATATGCAGCTGCTCAGGAACAGCTAGCTCAGGGATATATTTATATTGCTTTTTAGGGGTCCTACTGAGGCCGTCCTTGACACCAGTTTTATAGTCTGTTGCAGCTGGAAGCCTGGTTCATGCATGCTGAATCTCACATTCCCAAACCTGCCCAGTTGTACCATGAGCCTTTGCCAAATTTAATACATTTCCAGAAAGCACAGGCAGCGGTCCTGCAGGTGGATTGCCGAGCATTTGTATGTGCTTGGGGGACCATTACTGATGGGATGGTGCACAAGGTAAAGTTTTAGACTGGCATGTGGAATTTGTAACTGACGTTCATAACAGGTTGATGGGAATTTCTAGCAGGTGAGGTGTTGGTGCATTTTTCTTGCAAAACCCCAGGACTGGGAAAATTAGTCACCAACTGAAAACTTAAGTGTGACATTTAAGTTTTTAACATTGAATAGTTAGTCAAAGGCAGAAGCCTGATTATTAGAGACTGCTGGCAGAATCTTCTAGGTCTTTGGAGAAAGAAAGAAACAAAGCTGATTGCTGCTGACTCAGAAGATCTTTTCCTCTAAGTTCCCTGGAAGTTAAAGCAGTGAGAGAAGGGGGCGAAGATGTCTGGAGTGGAGTCAGGGAGCATTTGGGAACAGTAGCTAAGGGACCTGACAATCACCTACAGTCACAGTAGAGGTGATGGTGAGAAAATGCAACCAAATACTGTCAGGTTAAAGTCTCTAATGACTGCTCTTCGATTCAAGTTATAGACTCTGATTTACAATGCCTTCTAGCCCTGCATCTGTGATAGTTGTGGGTAATTATTTTTACTGGCTTACTGATTACTGAGTTCAGTTTTGGTTTTAAGTTCCTCCTAATTGTGTTCAAAGAGTATCCAGTTGGTCTTGATGGCAGTCAGAATAAAAGCAATTCTAATAAACAATATGCAATTCCAATATTTTTCCTTCTATCTATTAGCTGATTGGGTGTGTTATCATGTAATTTAGCTCTGTTGTAGGAGGTTTCCTTTCACTATATGGACTGATTTCTTTTCCAACTGTCCAACTATAGGATGAGCTATTTTTGTCTTAGATGTTAGGGGGATTTTCTTTTTTATCTTAAACATAAGAATAGATGCACAGGTTCTTTTTTGTATCTTTTTTTCTTTCTTTACTTCAATATATTACAAACACTACAGCTAAGAACCACATAATATGTTCCATAATACAGTTTAGATTTCAGCTGCTTATACAAGGTTAGCCACCTGTAAGGAAAAGATTAGGGGGTAATTTTGCTTATTATTTTAATAATCTTCTGACTTTTATTGATAAGCTCTACTGCCCTCACGTTTTGTGGTGGGTGTTTGGCATTTTGGTCTTTGTAACAGAACTGTACCTTTCACTTTCAATGTGAAAGGTGTGCGTTGGGCACAATGAAACTTCCACAGTGATTGGAAAACCTTCATCTGTACATCCTCCAACTTCCCCGAAGTTCTGCATAGGTCACTCAGATCACATGTGCCCAGACACGTCGTCAGATGTTGCTCCTCCTGCAAAGAAACAGAGTGTGTCTCTTCCCAGCGTTCAGAGACTTTCCTTGCAATTATTACGCCTCACTACCAGTACCTATTGTAATACCAGACTGGTAACAGCATGAATTTTTCTCTCATGCTCTGCTGACTTATCTCCTGGTATTCTGCCTTTTTTTTTTTTTTTTTTTCCCTTTTGCCTGCCTGACTCACGTTAAGGTAGCGTGTGGAACTTTTGAGACATCAACACAAGAGTGATGGGAGATGGCCAGACTTTGGCAATTAATAGGAAATGATTAAAAGATGAGAAAAGGTGAGGGGGTGAGCAGACAAAGGGAGGTGTCAGTGGCTGGAGCCGCAGAGTGAAAGAACTGTTAGAAAGGAATAGGGAAATGCTCTAGAGAAAATGTGGTGCCTGCTAAGTACTCCTGTGCTACCCTTTGTAAGCTGGAAGATAAGAGACTTCACCTGCTCCAGTAATTGATTAGCTTGATGCTGCATACTGCCTCTAAGCCTACCACTTGCCTATATAGCATGAAAAACCACATTTCCATGAAGAAGTCATCGTATATCAGAATTGTTTACCTGTGTGTATAGTTGAATTATTGTAGAACATAAAATAAAAAATTAAGGGAATGTTGAGCTTGTAAATCAAACACTCAAAATGGGGGCAAAGAAAGGAGAGAGACACAGGCATTGAATGTGTCAGTTATGTTTGAGATTCCCATAATGGAAAGCAAGGCCAGAGTTTGTATTTCAAAGTATGTTAGGCCTTATTGCGCATCTGCTCCATTCAAGAATGAACAGCATTTTGGCCATGCAGCTCATAGATGTGGTGAGGTATGTACAGAGCGAGCAATGCGCAAGGATCTACCTGTGGCCTTTGTTATAAATGATACCTAGCTGTAAACGCATAATACACTGCATAGGGGTAAAACCTCAGCTCTCCTAAGAGGACATTCCACTTCTTTAACTGTTTTTTTGAGACTATTGAAGCTGCAGACAGGCATCTCCAAGTTTTTCAGCTACCAAAATGGACCCTCTTTATTTAAAGGAATTTCCCAGTTATTTTAAGACAGACTCCCTAGAGCTGACTGTGGACTGGGAGGCATTGTAAGGTATTCTAAAAATTTATTCTAAACCCTGAACAATGATTTTTACTGTTTAGAGCTTGTATGACAACATGATTTTCAAAAAAATTGAATTCACTAAATGAAAGATATGATGATATTCGCTGCTTCATCAGGCATTTAGACAAAGGTCACCCACCTATCAACAGGAATCAGGCAGCTAAATCCTTCCCTGTGATTTAAATGTTTGCTTGAAAAGATATGCTCAGGTGTTAGTTGTTCATCAGCTGTAAGTGATGATCTTAATATTTGCACCAATTTTCTGCAAAGTTTAGGGTGAGATGTTACTTCTCCTATTCTTCCTTCACACAGAGTGAAGGGTTGGTTTTTTGGGAGGTTTTTAGTCCAAGCTATAAAAAATATGTCCCAAATAACAAAATGCTATGTAGTTGATTAAAAAAAAAAAAAAAAAAACAAACAAACAAACAAAAAAAAACCCAACAAACCATTAAAAATCGTGGGCTCTTATATACAAGTTTATTTGTAAATGGCTTTCTTCAGTTTAAGCTACCTTCTTTGCCAGTTATGTTGATGCAACTATTTTTAAGGAATACATCATTTAGAGAGATGACTAGAGGAAAAATTAGAGTTAACCATTTGGCATAAAGATGTAGTGGTTCTTATTTTTTGCTGCCATCATGTGGCCATTTTGAGTCAGGTTTCGATCTAGTTTAGTTCAGTTTTTCCAAATGTTTGAATAACCGTTTACTCTATTGCCACAAAAAGGGAAGGATCACACTGTTTGTAGAGCCAGTGATCTTGTAAACCAAGAACACCACAGTGGGTGTAATGAAGCTGCAATGAGCTGTTAATCTGGGTTTCATAGTCCTGGAATACCTAATTGTTCCTTGTTGTCACTCTAAATAAAATTAATTTTAATTCTACTCTTCACCAGTTTTCCATGCTTTTCAAGCAATTGACCACAAGGTACTATTGAACCATTTTCAAATTAGAGCACTGGTAAAACAAGAGATTCTTCTTTTGCTACTAATGTGTGTTTTGAGAGCCCAAAAATAATATTGGAAAATTATTCACCTTAATCTGTGAGCTGTCTGTGGATTTCCATTTCACTGACTGAAGCATGCACTGCTAAGCTAGTGATAAGGAAACGTGAAACACAGTCACTTGAGCAATTAAAATGAGTATTCTGTGTTTTGTTTTGCTTTTGAAGACTGGTTGTGCTGGATGCTGGGGGTGGTATGTGCTTTTTCTGATAGCTCTGACTCATGGCAAATAGGATAAACTTTTTTTACCTTGCATATGCCAGCTGTTGAGTTTAGTACCAAAATTATAGAAGTGAAAGACTAATGCTTATTCAGTCATGTCATGTACTTAAGTAAAACACTATTCTTCTGTAAGTTATTTCAGTTTTGGCTGTTACCTCCCAGGCATGTGAGAGCCGTCTCCTTTGCCTTTTAATACCGTCTGAAAACAAAACAAGAGGACATCAACAAATCCAAACTAATATTAAAGTTTAAGGTGCTAAAGTGAATACTACTGGGTTAATCAAAATATATATGCAATGTTTACTGAAGTCTAAAGCCTTTGTGTAAATGGTAATATTTTACTGTATGTAAGATATATGGCTGATGTGATATTGTGTGAACTACTATTGTGTTTTCCTTAACTATATCTACATTATTCAGCATGCTTATCATGTGCACTATTTTGACCAACTGTGTATTTATGACCATGAGTACCCCTCCTGACTGGACAAAGAATGTAGAGTAAGTTGCATATGTTATTTAAAGCTATCTTTGTCTGTTCCTCTAGGAGTCAGCATGCCAGTAACTGCAGTCATGTGTGCTTGCAGGAACTATCATGAGATACTATTACTATTTCCTCTCTAAACTGTGTAGAAGTGCTGAATAGTTATTTAAATCTCCTTCTAGTAGAACGATTGGGTAGGGAAAAAAAAGAAAGTTGTTTACAGATAATATTCTACTGAGATTCTACTAGTTTTCTCTCATCTTCATGGTTTAACATCTACTCAGTGTTTTACCCCTCCTTCGTGCCACTGCATTAATAGTAGAACCATGGCCATGTATTTGTACGCGACAGTTAAGGACAGTATGTAAGTATTCCTAAAGTGAGAATTCAGTGCATGCTTGCATTCTTCCATTTTTAAACTTAATACTAGATGTTAGTGATTCAGACAGTGTCCAGTAACTTACACTCACAACTTTCTCGGTGAACAGTAATGGATCTACTGTTGCATACTTTTAAACTGATTGTCACCGATAAATTTTTAGTATGTCATTTATTTGATGGATTTATTTATTTTGATTTATGTAATAGATAAGGACTGCTGTACTTCAACAGTATGTCTCAACTAATATGTTTAAATACACAAGTATATATGATTAATATAATGCATTTTAGAATAAATTACCTGTTTACTGTATTTCTTTTCCAGTTTTGAAATAAAAAACTTTTTCATTTGCTTATCACGTTTCTATCAGAATACCAGTGTAAAATGTTGGTACTTACTTTGATTAAACTTTACTGTTTTTTCCAGGTATACATTCACTGGAATTTACACGTTTGAGTCACTCATAAAAATCATTGCAAGGGGCTTTTGCTTAGAAGATTTTACTTTTCTTCGAGATCCATGGAACTGGCTTGATTTCACTGTCATTACCTTTGCGTAAGTTTTTGGTTTTTGCCTTTTCTTCGAAAGTGAAGGGAAAAAAGGGCATGAAATTAGTATCTAAACATGTCAATTTTGTTAAATGGAAATTCTTGTATGGATTATTTTTGTCTAAAACAATTTTCACATTCTAATATGCATATTTTGTTGTAAACTTAAATACTGCAGAAGCCATTAGTACAGCTAGTATTAGAGAGGCTAATTTCATGTCCTGCATTTTTTTCTCTGAGCAGAAAAGGAGCATCCCTTTGACTTCATTCTCCAAACTTACCAATCTAGTCTAGATAAATTTTAGGCTTTCAAAGTTAAATCACTGCGATTCACTTCAGAGACATTTAATTTAACTGAAGGCTCTGAAAGCATATTAATGCAAGGCAAACTGCAGTGAAAGGTAAACCTCTGATTGTTGATAATTAATTTTTTGCTAAAAACGCCAAAGCGGTCTTGATGAAAGACCCAAGTAAGTAGCATAAACTTTGCCTAAATTCTGAATAACTGTGATTTAATCCTACAGGTATGTAACAGAATTTGTAAACCTAGGCAATGTTTCAGCTCTTCGATCTTTCAGAGTATTGAGAGCTTTGAAAACTATTTCTGTAATCCCAGGTAAGAAGTAACTGGTGTAAGGTGTTAGGCCCCTTGTACCTCCCAACTGTTCCTTTTTATCCTGTCATTGTTTGTGTGTGAACTCCCCTATTACAGATATGTGACAGAGTTTGTGGACCTGGGCAATGTCTCAGCGTTGAGAACATTCAGAGTTCTCCGAGCTTTGAAAACAATATCAGTCATTCCAGGTGAGAGCTAGGTTAAACACTGAGGCTGACGTTAATTCACTGAAACAGAATTCATATTTTTTAAACTTAAGTCTTCTTTCCACAAAAAAAGCAGGAATCGGAAGATATTTTCACTTATATCTCTGATTCTTTGCTTTTTAACATGAGCTCTTTTCCTTTGAAATCAGCCTTTGAGTTTAACAGATTCTTGCATGAGACATTGCAGTACACAGCGTGTGTGGTTTGCATCGTATGATGTCAAGCTTTCTTCTCCACATTCAATGAATATCAGTAACTCTGAAGTTTTCTTACCCATGTGTATCTTACATACATGATGTCCTGTGGTATTTGTTGTGAATATTTGTGTCTAAAAATAGAACTGTTCGAAATGTTGACTTAGTAAGAATATGAAGGAATAAGATAATAAAGAATAGCATGGGCATTGCATGGGGGATTTATTATCTTGAAATTCTACAATTTTCCAAACCATCTCCAGTTTTATAGCATTAAATTTTAATCCTATTTATTGTTGAACAGCCTTTTTACTACTTACTTCTAAATCTAGTATGTTATAAAACTGATAGTAGCAAAGGTTTGGGGCAACAGGTATTGAGAAATAAAAAGAAAGAAGGCTTTTATGTGAGATTCCTGTACAGCATGAATAAAAAAGTCACTTGTTTTAGCATTAAAACAAGTGTTTTGCAATATATGCAATTCATTCCATTCACAGTTTCAAATGAACATAAATTTCAGCTATTTATTCATTTTCACAAGTGAAAAAGCTCTTCACAAAAGTGTTATTTCACAGACATTACAACCATTTATTTGGGCTTCTGCATGAAATCTATAAGTTTACTGGGAGACACTGTCATTTTTATGCTTTAAAAAAGTTTTGAACATCGAAATAAAAATTCTTTTGCATTTGCAGGCTTGAAGACTATCGTGGGAGCCCTAATTCAGTCTGTGAAGAAGCTCTCGGACGTTATGATCCTGACTGTGTTTTGTCTGAGTGTATTTGCACTAATAGGGCTGCAGCTGTTCATGGGCAACTTGAGGAATAAATGCCTGCAGTGGCCTCCAGACAATTTTACTTTGGAAACAAATATTACTTCCCAGCTGAACAGCACCATAGGAGAAAATGGTACATTGATTAATTCAACAGTGACTCCATTTGACTGGAAGGGGTACATTGAAGATGAAAGTAAGTATTGTCAGTATAATTCTTATTGAAGTGATTTTGGGAAAGAGATTGTACATTTAGTTAAGACAGAGCAGGAGAAGTGTTTTCTCTTTCTCATAGATCTGGACCAAAATCCAGTATGGAAGAGGCAACAAGGAATATGGTCTTTCTACTTGATATAGCTCTTTTTCTCAGCTCTCTCTGCCAAATCCACATCTCCTCTGAGACAGAAAGAGGTCCAAAGAAGTTCTTAAAATTACTTAATAGTCTTAAATTTTTTCCCTTCTGATACTCCAAAGCAAGATCAGCAACAGACTGCTTCGTAATTTCTGACAGATGTTAGAGACTTCAGACATTCAGTGAGGATTCCAGTGATGGAGTCTTCAGTATTTTTACTGTTTATCCATTCTTGCACTTCACTATCCTTATTATTAGAAAGGGGGTTTTTTAAGGTCTAGCAAATTTTCTTGCTGATATTGAAGCTCATTGTTCTTATCAACTTCACCAGGCATCAAAAGCAAAATATTACCCGTCATTAATCACTGTCTCTGAGGTATTTAGAGACTATCCTTAGGTTGTCATGCCCTGTTCTTTCCTTTTTCACTCTTCTTTTTGTACGCTAAGCAACACAGATCATTAACCTTTTTCTCTTACAATTTATTTTCTAAATCTTGATCTCTCATCTGGATCCTTTCTTGTTTGTAAACATCCTTCTTAAATTGGAGTACTCACATCCAGGCATTTCTTCTCCACATGAGGCATACTAAGTAAAGAAGGATTATGTGGTAGCCTAGTAATTTCAACTTCTGTTTTATATATCCTAGGCTAGGGCTTGACATTGTTTACAATTGTAAAATCATTAAATCCTGTTCAGCTTGTGGTCTACCTGCTCCTGAATCTTTTACAGACTTTTACTCCATTGAGTTTCCACTTTGTATTTCCGCAGTTCATTGTTCCAGCCTGAACAGCACCCTGTTTTTTCAGACCATATCCCCAGTTGTCCTGGATCTTTTAAACTGTAATTGTTTCCTCAAACTCACCACCATCCTTATCAGATCAGTATCATTTGCAAATTTGGTAAGTGTTCTTCCATCATTTAGATTAGTTAAAATCTTGAAGAGCACTAATCTCAGACAAACCTCTTCAGAAGTTGTTTTGATCCATCTTTCTATTTTGATAATTTCCTGAAGTATGATTTTCCAACCAGTTTTGCCAATACAGAGTAGTCTGGCAAACAGAATAGATAAAGAAATGCATTTCAGTACAGTTAAATGAGGTTACAAACCTGAGCTCCCTATCCCAAAAATCCATACTGCACACTTCATGTTGAGATAGGTTCACAAGCATAAAGACTGTAGCTGATGGAATACATAATCTCTAACAGTGAAAGTTACTTTTGGAGAAAAATAAGAACTAAAGAGGAGAGAGAGAGAGAGAAAGAAAAGGAAAACTGTGGTCAGCTGTGAGAAGTTTTGGGGTCCCCACATGAGTCTCCTCCCCTGGGTATCCCTTCCAGTGCAGCAGTGATCACGCCATAATATTTTTCCCATAGCAACCATGTGTTTTTCATTAGCACCTCCTCAGACTCCTTACAGGTTATTCTTCCTTACAGTGCTATTAATACTAATTGGAATGCAGTTTGATGAGAGCAGGTGCGGCACGGCCAGTTGGTTTTTAAGCTGATACATGCATGTTATTAGGTCACCTAATAGAAAACCAAAGCTACAAGCAAGGAGCAGGAAAAAGGGGAAGAGGACTGAATCTCACACCAGAGACAATTAATACCTGTGAGTACCTGCTGCAACAATAATGTGTTTGCAGGTGTAATGTCATGAGAGTAAAGGCAACATGAAAAACAGCATAAGAACAAAGTAAAAATAGGCTCTGGAAAACACTACCACAGCAGCTTATATGAAAGATTGCAGAGCTGCAACTGAGGCAAGATATAGAAATGCAATTGGAAATCCCTTAGTAATAGAGATGCTGAGACACCTAAGGCACCATGGAGCAGCCAAAACTGAAAAAGTAAGGCTAAAACTCTGCAGCCAAAAAGCTAAATAAATTATTGATCAAGAAGGCAGTATTGCTCCTGTATTTTGCATTGCTGCAGTTGCTACTGGAATACTGTGTAAAGTTCAATTTAGATAGAATGTTGAAAAATTGGAAGATGTTCAGAGACGAGCAGAATGATTAAAGGGTTGGAAAACTTGCTTTATACGAAGATAGACCAGGAGCTCAACCTCATTAGCATATCAAAGAGAAGGTTTAAGGGGTAGTTTCATCACATTTGAGAAAAACCTCGTGGGGAACAGAAATTTCATCATAGACATATCTTTGATCTAGCATGCAAAGATGTAACAGGTTCAATAGCTGCAAGTCAAAGCCAGACAGATTTTGAATAGAAGTAAGACAGCTTCTAACTGTGATCACACCGCTGATCAATGACTATGATGGATTTCTATCTGAATTTCTTAAATCAAGATGCAATCTTTTTGTGAAACTCACTTTACTTGAACATGTGAACTCATGGAGATCCCATGCCACAGGGTATAACAAAGCCTAAGCAAAGTCTTCTAATGAAGACCTAGACTTCAAGGTCAAACTTCATTTCCTGACCTTCAAAGAATCTATAAACTCAAGCCCTGATTTAATTTGATTTAAGACCTGAAGACCCCTAAAAGACAAAGCTGAATTGAATTAGTTACAGAAAGTACTTATTTATTCAATACTTGAAACTTGGGTGTATTTACACAGGATTTCATTTGCACTATTAAATTTATAATGGAATTATGAGTATTATTATGAAGTTCATAAACTTGTCCTTGCTTACCAGCACTTTCAAAGTGAAAAATTATCTTCTCACAGCTTCCTGCTCTCTTTTTGCAGGTGAGCATACAGGATGCAGAAATGGTTCTTAAACCAACTGTGGCACAGAGCAGTAAGAAGGGATTTACCTGGAGCTCAGAGCAGTGTAATGGCACTGTCTTTTGTAGGAATTATAAAAGTCTTTATGCCCATAGTTGTATATACTATGCAAAAAAAAACCACCACCACCACCAACAACAAAAAAACCACTTAAGCCCTAATTTTGCCTCTAAGCTAAATTTTGGAAATACCCTTTGGAGCAACTTTATGTAAGCATTTTTTTCCCCCACCTTTTCCTTTTTCCAATATAGTAAATCTGATAAACTAGGTAAGTTTAAGTTTGTCTTGGCAAGCTTACCATACACAATTTTTTTCCTGGAAAATAACATCTCACAATCTATTTTGTGAAATAACAGTTATTCTTAGTTATTACCATAGGTTTACCCAAACAACTGTAAATTCCTTTGAAGTAAAATGCTTACCTACCAGGTATTTTTTCCCATTTCCCAATCAAATAAAGGGGAGACAAACATCTACCTTTGATGTAGTGAGGGACTTTTCACATTACTTTGGTAAAATACAATTCAGAGTTTTGCATCTAGTTACGGACATGTGCTTATACCACTCAGTTTGTGTTGTTATAAAAATTTTCCTGTCATGATAATATTTTGAGCATTTTTCATGGTTGTATCAGTGCACTCAGAGAAAGGCTGGGTGGCCAATATTTCCTTTGGAGCTGGCGAGTACAGCATGCTTACAGGGCGCATCTTGTCTGAACCACAGAACTTGAATACAGACCCTATGTTAGCAGTTCAGCTCAGCTGATGCAGCACTGATCATGACTGACTGCTCCATGTAAACTATATCAAGTCAGGTTTGTATTCTTCCCAGCCAGCTGTTATATTCCAGCATCTTTCAATCATGATTAGCTGACATAATGCAGAATAAGATTTGCTTCATAAGGGTCAGCTGTGGTCAGCATCATGTCAGCTAACTTTGCTATTTACAGCTGTGTTTGAGCACAGTGCAGTTCTGCAATGCACACCAGCCCAGAATGACAGCAGCTGCTCGTAGGGTTGTGCACTTTGCACAGTACAGCAGATTGTACCCAGTAAGATGCAGGTCAGTCATTAGACACTGAAACTGAGTCCTTCACAGAGTGTCAGAACAAGGTCTACGTACAGCTTAAAACCTAACACTTAAATGGTGAATTTCTCTCACAGGATGGAGAGATGCAGCTGGCTGGGGTACCATGTGCCTCCTGCAGCAAATCAATGTGCTGAGCCAGTAGCTTGAGACATCTCCTCAGACTCAGAATTCATTAGCTTCTGTAGTGACTCTGCTTGCGCAGCACAGCCACAGTCAGGATTAAACTTGGCTGTACTGGTAGCATTTCAAATTAGATCATTCTAAGGGAATCTAACAGGCTAGTTCAATGGAAAAGAAATCCAATGTGGGGTTTAAATCTTCTGAGGAAGCAAAAAAGTTTCCACCTTAACTTGAAAGCTGGAGCCAAGAAGTATTGGAAGCTGGGGAGCTGCTCATGTCAACGCTTTTGGTCTCTGTTGGAAATGGGTTACTGGGTTATGTGGTCTGACCTGGTACAAACTGCATCCTTAATCCTGTGACCAAATGGGAGATCATTACTACAAGAAGAAGCTCCTCCTGCGATAATTCTTCCAAAAACAAGAGCTTAGCAACTGTAGGCATCTGCTTTGAGGGGAAAAAGAAAAGCACTTCTCAAGGATACGGTCAAAGTGAATCTTAATAAGCACAACATTTTGCTCATCATCTCTTTATTCTTCTAAGAATAGAAAGGTCAATGTCTTTGTTGTTTAAACCATCTAAAATGTCCTTTAAATACAGGATTACTATAAAGATTATGGGATGATTTGCTACAGGACAATTTGGTGGGACTTACCCAATTTTTCTTTCCTATGGTGATCAACAGTTTCATCATATACTCCTAAAATCATACAGACACAAGTCAGTGACTGTTGCAGTAATTCTGTCTGAGTTAAATTTTGAGGTATACCAGGATCTTCACACAAATCAGTGGGCTAATTGTAGTGTGTACTCACCCCTAACAGTTAGAGCCATTGACAGCTGGGTGGTTTTTTGCAAAGCTCACATATTTGATAACTGTCCCAAGTGTTTGCAGGTGACAAACCTTGGCAATATGGATCAGAAAGTTTGAAATAAACTATCGGTATTTTTTTCAGATACAATTTAATTATTATAATAAATAACTGTACAATATAAATTCACAAAATGTGATTTATTTCAGTAATCAGACTGAAGGAAGAATTGTACATTTCATCCAGCAGCATTTGACAAGATTTTTAGTACATTTTGGCATTTAACAGTAAGTGCTGTGAGTGATGGCACTTACTGCAATTCATATTGTAATTTACTTGAAAATGATGGTCTTGCTGAAAAAAAAAATACTACTTGTTTAAAATTGCATCTTAAATCACCTTAACACTTTCAGAGCAGGACTTTATTTCATAGAGCTGTAAGAAAGCTGTCATATTCAGAATGTTATAATTTTTAAAAAATTCTTTTCTAAACAGGTCATTTTTATTTTCTGGAAGGGCAAAACGATGCTCTGCTTTGCGGAAATAGTTCTGATGCTGGGTAAGACCAAATGTTGTCATGTTATTGCACCCTATCCAAATTAGATCCATGTTCTTCAGATATGCAATTGGAAGGGGGATATATTTTGAGTGGCCACTTTCTTTCATGTAAGAAATACTAGGATTTTACACTGGGCTGAGGATTTGGGTTCCTGGTCAGAATTCCGTGGATTGGTTAGATGAGCGTAGTCTGCATGAATGAATCAGTAATTTGAAGCTGATTAGTGTAGCTCCTGGATGAGAAGTGACAGACATAGCAGCTGGAAAACACATTATTTTGCACTTCCAACTGCACATGAGTATTAACAGGCTCAGACAGTAGAAAGCACTGACATTGGCATTAATATTGTAACATTAATAATTAAATAAATTATTTGGAATATTAAGTTTTAGTAGTTTAAATTAAACTTTTTACACTAATTTTTATGTGCCTTTCCTGATTAATTTTTCTAGTGTCCTTTAAAATATTTCTATTAACTGCTTTTATTTCTGTTCTGATTAAGTAAAGAAAAATCCACTGTTTAGTCCTAGTCTTCTCCTGGACATTCCAGGTGATATTATTGAAATAACTATATAAAGTAACACTCAGTTTGTCTTTATAGGCAGTGCCCAGAAGGATATACATGTGTGAAAGCTGGTAGAAACCCCAATTATGGCTACACAAGTTTTGACACCTTCAGCTGGGCTTTCTTATCACTATTTCGCTTGATGACTCAAGACTTCTGGGAAAACCTATATCAATTGGTGAGAATTTTTTAATGCAAAATAGACTAAATATGCTTGTACCAATAATGCAAGAGGCCACAAATAACTTTTTTGTTATTTTAATTTTAACAATATGAACATTAGAACTTTTATTAACCTATTCTTGCTTATAAATATGTCCTTATTTGCAGACACTGCGTGCTGCTGGGAAGACATACATGATATTTTTTGTTCTGGTGATTTTTCTGGGTTCTTTCTACCTGATCAACTTGATCCTGGCTGTGGTCGCCATGGCCTACGAAGAACAGAATCAAGCAACCATGGAAGAAGCAGAACAGAAAGAGGCAGAATTTCAACAGATGCTGGAACAGCTGAAGAAGCAACAAGAAGCAGCTCAGGTATAATTTATGGTGTAATAATGCAGAAGTGTATGGAAGCAATTTTACTAGAGTTATTCACCCTCTGATTTCTGAATTTGGAGTTATAAACACCCTGCTGAGCTTTCAACAACAGAGCTAGCTCAGAGATTGTCAGTTCTGAACTAAAGACATTTCACTTTGAATGATCCAGCCATAATCAACAAGGAATATTCAAAACTAGGTGTACATTATTCATTATGTTTTTCTTAGTCTAGTGTCATCAATACAGTCTGTTAGACTTCTGCATTTAAAACTACTCATGAAAGATGGAAGAAGATTATGACCAACACATATCTTGAGTCAAATGAGTAATAAAAAGTAGGAAAAAAATAGGGAGAGGATATCCTATGGAAGGTGTTAAGATCCAGGGTGGTTGAACTAGAAATTCTATATAAGTAAATTTTTAAAAAGCATGATGTCAAGGTTTGCTCAGTGACACAAATTCATTCTGCAACATGGCAGGCAGCAGCAGTGGCAGCAGCAGCAGTAACAGCATCCGCAGAATCCAGGGAGCCCAGTGCTGCAGGAGAAGCAGGTGTGCTCTCAGGAAGTTCCTCAGAGGCATCAAAACTGAGCTCAAAAAGTGCAAAAGAGAGGAGAAATAGAAGGAAAAAAAGAAAACAGAAAGAGCAGTCTGGAGGAGAGGAAAAAGATGAAGATGAATTTCACAAGTCTGAATCAGAGGACAGCATCAGAAGGAAAGGTTTCCGATTATCTATTGAAGGCAATAGATTGACATATGAAAAGAAGTATTCTTCTCCACATCAGGTATTGCATATATTTATTTTTAGTAGAAGCATACATAGGCTGTTACAAAACTAGTTTAGTCTTCCTGGTACTGTAATATGACCCTACTGCCTAAAGAAATGAAACACTGAGATTTTCATTAAATGTTACCTCACACCTCTATTCTTGTAATAGGATTGCTTAAAAACATATTAAAATATTCTCTGGTTGATTCCGTAGGGGTTTTTTAGAGTGATTATATATCATCTAGACTTATTAAATTGCCATTTTTCCATTATGATAGCCTCGTGTTTTCCTCCTGCTTCAATGATGTTTGGAGGTTGGTTCAATGTGTGCGGGATGCTGCATACATGAAGGAATGCACATGCATAGACCCCCTTTTTTGCTTGACGGTTATTGCGCAACTACTCTGCTCAGCAGCTCTAACTGACATTAGGAGAAAGAAGTGTTTAATATTGGTTCTGTCTTAAGAATTAATGAATGGTGATATTTCTATCTGCAATATAAATATAATGAAACACATCTAAAAATTTCACAGCAGCATTTAGCTTCTGGGAAGAATGGTTACTCCCATATAGGGAAAAAACAACCCCTATGCTATCCTAATAACAATGCTGAGTTTGAAGGTTTCAGCTAACGATCACAAATTTTGTTTGCTTACAGTCTTTGCTGAGCATTCGTGGCTCCCTGTTTTCCCCAAGGCGCAACAGCAGAACGAGTCTTTTCAGCTTCAGAGGTAGAGCAAAGGATGTAGGATCAGAAAATGACTTTGCTGATGATGAGCACAGCACTTTTGAAGACAATGATAGCAGAAGAGATTCTCTCTTTGTGCCGCGCAGACACGGTGAACGGCGCAACAGTAACATTAGTCAGGCCAGTAGGTCATCCAGGATGCTGGCAGTGTTTCCAGTGAATGGGAAGATGCACAGCACTGTGGATTGCAATGGGGTGGTTTCCCTGGTTGGTGGACCATCTGTTCCTACATCGCCTGTTGGACAGCTTCTGCCAGAGGTGATAATAGATAAACCAGCTACTGATGACAATGTAAGAAAGTTTTAAATAGCTTAGGCATCGTGGCCTTTTCATACTGCACCAGCCAGTGTTTTCTACAGAATGGAACCCTTGGCAATGCTTCCTGGTTGGTCAAGCTGTGAATGCTCCTGCATCTTGTAAAATCTTTAATAAATAAAACAGCTAAGATAGGTTTGCAACCTAAGCATTTACTTACAAATATTCTCAAAACTAACAAATGCAATTTGCACTTTCCAATTAATAAAATATTAACTTTCACATTCATAAAAGAAACATGCTTCACAGTATTACTGTGCTATACTTTACTTTTCCTGATCTAAAGGTCCATCTGGCTATGCTCTGCAAAATCATAATTACTATAAAATTGAAAATGGAACACAAAAATGTTTTCATGTAACTGCAATCAATATGATACTGCCATTACTACTTTATCAAAATTAGCATTATTAGTTAATTTTGATAACATTCTTCCTTATCAATCCCATTAAAAATGTAAGGAAGATGTCAATTCTTTATTATCATCTATTTCTCATTCCTATATATTTTCCATCTGTTGCTGGTGGAGTTCTGTAGTGTAGATAAAAAATAGTTCATTGGAAGATCACATTTCAGTATATACTTCCAAAAATACAAATGTCTATGTGAACATATGTGCAGCACATATTGCTGCCATTCAAACCACATACAAGGTAAGAGAAGTTGTCTCAAAAAAATTCCTTGCTTAGTTCAAAGTTGTCTACCCACATTGCTAAAAAAATACTAGCATGAGGAAGCATGAGGAAGTCAGACTTTTCTTACTTGCTACATTTTGCCTAGGGGAATACACTATTATGTTACACAACTCAGACTATTCTGTCAGGAGGAGCAAGGAAAAAAATTACAGTTTGCAAAAGTTTTATACAATATTTTGAACTCAATCCTTTTCTTTTTGTTTAAATCATTTTTCATAGCTTGAAGGAAAGAAATGCAAAAGTTAAGTAAACTCTCAGTCTAACAAATTGATAACTATTGCCTCATATCTTTTAAAAATTATTTGAAATATACTAAAATGTAATAAAAGTCTGACATGATAAAAATTGAAGTGCACGAAGCACGTTTCCAAGCTAAGACATTAATTACAGGGTTCTATATAGTATTTGCTTATTATTTCAACATGGTCTCACCTGTTATTGTTGTCTGTATAGGGTACCACTACAGAAACAGAAATGAGGAAGAGAATATCAGGCTCTTTACATGTTTCTATGGACTTCCTGGAAGATCCAGCTTTAAGAGAAAGAGCCATGAGTATTGCTAGCATCCTCACAAACACTGTGGAAGGTGTGTGCTACACATAGCTTACTATTTAATACCTGTTTTTCAATGGACTTCTGAAAATTTGAGTTGAAAATTAAAAAATGATTTAAAGTAGCTTAATTAACAGATACTGTCCTACAAACCAACACATATTTATCAGTAAACTCAAAGCTCTTTATTCATTAAGCTTATTACATAAGTAAGCATTTCTATCTCATTGTTTTGCCACCATCTATCTCATGTGGTCATCAGGACTACAGTGACCTTTCGTCATAAATGAGTGGATGCTTATGCATATTAATTAAAAATGTATTATTTGACACACGAAGGCCACTGAACATTTTTCAAATATATGCAATCATTGTGACAATATATACATATTTTTAGGAGTTATATTTATTCAGTTACTCTTTAAAGTGCTATTTTAGATGATAAAAATGTTTTTTTTCTTGAACTAGGAATGAAAATTATACTGAAAATTTTTGCCTAAATTCCACAAATTTAAAAATAAAAATATTTACATAATAGAACAGTAAGTGGGAGGAACAGAAACTGAAGTGGAAGGAAGGAACAATAAAATACATAATAACAAATTGATGCATAAAATGATACTGATTGTAATAGTAATCGGAATACAAATAAATTGTGCTTGATAGATAAGCTTTGAACAAAATAAACACATTTGACAGCAATTTTTAAAGACTTCCTTGAAAAGCCATGTAAAAGAGTATAAAGAGCATGCTTATAGGAGGTTCATTAGTACCAGTTCAGATTGACAACTTAACTGGTACAATTCATATAGGATTATGGAATGTTAGAGCAATCGCATAGTTACCTGTGTGAACTTTCTTCTCCCACAGAACTCGAAGAGTCAAGACAGAAATGCCCACCATGTTGGTATAAATTTGCAAATATTTTCTTGATCTGGGATTGCAGTCCGCATTGGTTAAAAGTAAAACATATCGTTAACTTAGTGGTAATGGACCCATTTGTTGACCTGGCTATTACAATTTGCATTGTTTTAAATACACTCTTTATGGCTATGGAACACTATCCAATGACAGAAGAATTCAATCATGTACTTTCAGTAGGAAATCTGGTAAGTCTATTGGGTTTTTATGTCCATGATTTGGAAGAAAGTATGTTTGAAATAACTGAAAGAAGGAGTTTTAAAAGTTTGTGGGTTTGGGGTTTTTTTATGCTTTAGAAAGTAGATTTATTGGACATTTATTGGCCTACAGATATGACTTTGTCAGAACATTTTTGGAAATTTCACTGTCAACCCTGGCTCATGTAACTTAGGATACAGTAAAATCAGTATATTGTGGTGTTCTGCTAGGCCAAATTAAAAATTTTAAAAATGGCACCAATGCTACATTAAGTAACATCTGTCTTGAACAGAAGTTGATTTGTCTAATTACTAAATCAGGAAATGCATTGCTTCAATGAAAAAGACACTATGCAAATAAATGATAGTGTTACTTTTCAATCAATATAATATAAATCTTTAAATTATGAATGTGTTTTTAATTGTTCTGTTTCCTGAGCACAGGTTTACAATAGTTAAAAGAGCCATTTAAAAGCATTTCCAGAATTTTCTTCTGTAAAAGACTTTTTATGTGGCTATGTGGATTATTGTCTTTATATGCATTATGTCAAACTATGAAAAATATCCTGCAGTACTTTTTCCTCTTACAGTTTTTATAATTTTTTATCATTAGATAATTAGCAAGATAACTTTTCCTCATGTTGTCAGCTATATTTTCTCCCTTCTACTTCAAAAAGATATATTATTAAAGAACACAAGAAAGACATGGACCAGTTAGAACAAGTCCAGAGGAGGGCCACCAGGATGATCTGAGGGCTGGAGCACCTCTCCTGTGAGGACAGGCTGAGAGAGATGGGGCTGTTCAGCCTGGAGAAGAGAAGGCTCCAGGGAGATCTTATAGCGGCCTTCCAATACCTGAAGGGGCCTACAAGAAAGCTGGGGAGGGACTTTTCATAAGGGCAGTTAATGACAGAACAAGGGGAGATGGCTCTAAGCTAAAAGAGGGTAGGTGTAGATTAGATATTAGGAAGAAATTCTTCACTGTGAGGGTGGTCAGACACTGGAACAGGTTGCCCAAGGAAGTTGTGGATGCCACCTCCCTGGAAGTGTTTAAGGCCAGGTTGGATGAGGCTTTGAGCAACCTGATCTAGTGGAAAGTGTCCTTGCTGATGGCAGGGGGGTTGGAACTAGATTATCTTTAAGGTCCCTTCCAACCCAAACCATTCTATGATTCTATAATTATATTATCCTATGAATTCAGGAGTTAATTTTTTGTAGCTCTGATGCTTTTGAACCGGCAATTTTGGTCACATAGAAGAAGCTGCAGCTGCAGTCCTACTTTGTCTCTTATTTTAAGAATTGGTTACTTATAATGGGACTTTTTATAATCTTTGTTTTTTAATGTGGAAAAACTATCATGTAAACAACTACAGGGTTTAGAAGGGAGAATTAATAGATAAATGCATAGCTAGTTTTCATATACTTAAAATAAGGGAAACTCTAAATCTGAGTTTCTAGTAAAATGTAAAATCTTGTATTGTAGCATTTTATGGACTTGTTTTCCAACAAAGAAAATGCCATATAAATCTTGGTGTACAGCTGACTACAAAGGGAGCATGAGAGAACCTGCCTATAAGCACCATACTCTTCCAGTCTTAGGCTCCCTGAAATAAACCCCATCTGCAATATGAAGACTCTCAGGGTTCACCTGCTCCAGCAGTTCAACTTTAAAGCTCCTTGAGAACCTCACCACCCTGATCATTAGGAACCTAAGTCAGCATTTCACACAGTATTTATTTATTGCTACCTCTTCCTCAGTGGTTCCAATCCTGTAGCTTAAAAAATAGTAACCTTTTCCTCTATGGTGTTTATAATTAGAATGTATTTAAAGACTATAATAAAATCTATCCTGAGCATTGGTGTTCCTAGGCAGAGCAAGTCCAACTCTTCTTATCCATCTCCTGATTATCTCAGTTAGATTATTCTCTTTAGCTGTCCCATTTTGTTTTCACCTTGTGGGTTATCAAAACCAAAAAATAAAGCATTTCAGACCAAGGCTCAGGCAGCCTTTAACACTATCTTTAGTACATTCCTATCCTACTTGAAATTCTTCTAAGACTTCTCTCCAAGCTACTCAGGGTCACTGCCTTGGTGGCTTCTAAATATGATTCCTACGTCATTCAGCATAGCATCCCATGATGAGAAACCATTACCAGCAATATCATGTTTAAAATGCATTCTTAAATGCTCTTTCGCTCTTGACATTAAAGTGATTGAGCCAATCAACTTCACTGAACTTACTGGCAACACTGAGGTAGAAGTTCCTCAGCTTCAGCAAATTATTGTACCTCAGTTGATCGCCATCTGGTACAATCTTATCTCTGTAGAACTGAATGGCATTATGGCAGGCTATGCTAGCAAAGGAGCAACCCCTCTGGAGTCTTAGATTCGACCACATTCATGATGCTATATAATGTAATTAGTATACCAAGAAAGATGTTATACCATGTAATTTCTTGGAAAGCACTCTCTGTTTTGTTATGAAAATCAAATTTGGGATATTGTTTGTACAGTATATGAGAAAGACCATATCCTGATAAAGTTGAAATTGGATTATAAATGTTACAAACCAGAATTTTTTTAATTCGTTTAGTATAAAATTTAATTAATTGAAAAAATTACTTGGTTTCTATGGCACTTGCTAAGGGAAGGTGGGCATAATAAATCACTACAGTACAATGAACTATTTTTAAGTATCAGTTTTGGATAAGACATTGCAGATATGTAGCTTGAATTAAAAACCTAGACAACTGCTAAATCTGTAATATTATATTTTCCAATGAAATAACAAACTGCATTTTGAATTCAGGTCTTCACTGGAATCTTCACAGCAGAAATGTTTCTCAAGATAATTGCAATGGATCCTTACTATTATTTCCAAGAAGGCTGGAATATATTTGATGGTTTTATTGTAACCCTTAGCTTGGTTGAGCTTGGTCTTGCAGATGTAGAGGGACTCTCAGTTCTTCGATCATTCAGATTGGTAAATATACATCAATTGCACTGATTTTTCAATGGAGCTTCACTAAAATAATATATATTTTGCCTTTAAAATTTGCTTGATTGCGGGAACTCAATCATGGACTCTGCTACACAACCAATATGATCAAGCAAGAAGCCATTTATTTGTTCTAATACAGTTATATTTATACACCAAAACTAATGAAATCACCCACACCCGTTAACATATTATTGGCTATTCACTTGCAGCACGAGCAGTTCACATGCCCCTAATTGGGTGATGGACTTTGTGTGCATCCCCTCCTGTTTGCTTGCCAGGGTACATCTTTTGGATACATTTCAAGGTTCCTTTCTCAGACCTTGTTGATGCAGGTGCTTCAGTTCTCCAGACATGTATCCTTTCAGTTCCCACAGTTCTTTCAGGGTATGCCAATACACGTTGCCACGCTCCCTACACTTGATCCTGATGTCTCTTTCATTAGTACAAATCCTTATTAGTTGTGGTATCTTCAATGGAAATTTATAGAGGTCCAGACAAATAGCAGTGGGTGCCCTGGGCCTATTTGCAATGTATTTGTTGTATATTCGCACTTTATACAGTCTGCTATGCAGAAACAAATAAACTCATTAGATGTATTGTGCTCTGATTGGCATCACAGGAATAGGTCTGCTCTACAAATACCTGTAGAAAAGCAGTCCAGATGATTTTAACAGGTGAACACTAGATTTTAAATTCCATCTAATATGACTGGTAGCTTCTTTAGCCTTCAGTAAAAACTATGCTTTGATGATATCAAGCTCTAACTTCACAAATTTAGTTGCCTTGCATCTTCATGCTTTTAGAGAACAGGATACCCTCTGAACAGTCATATTCAAGACATATTTTGCAGTAATAGCCTTCCACAAATTAATTTTAAAATATCATTGTGTCTTTCTTGCTGGTTGTCCTAACAACATTTTTCTTTTCTTCCAGTTACGAGTTTTCAAATTGGCAAAATCTTGGCCAACTCTAAATATGCTGATAAAAATTATTGGCAACTCAGTGGGGGCTCTGGGGAATCTGACCCTGGTGCTGGCCATCATTGTGTTCATTTTTGCTGTGGTTGGGATGCAGCTATTTGGGAAAAGCTACAAGGAATGTGTCTGCAAGATCTCTAAGAACTGTGAACTTCCACGCTGGCACATGCATGATTTTTTCCACTCTTTCTTGATCGTATTTCGAGTGCTGTGTGGAGAATGGATAGAAACGATGTGGGACTGCATGGAGGTTGCTGGCCAAGCCATGTGCCTTACTGTCTTCATGATGGTCATGGTGATTGGAAACCTAGTGGTATGTAATCAAAGAATTAGCAAATAATTATTTGGTAATAGTGTGTGCTCAATCCTGTGCTCTGGCTCTGCTTCAACAAAGCACTTAAACAGGTGGTTTGAAGCAATGCTTAAAGTTAAGCTTAAGAGCTTTTTGGATTGAGAACAAAGTATTCTGCAATATCAGAATCCTAAGAATGTTAGTGAGCACTTAGTCACAATCTTAATTTGTCTTTTGGCTCTTTGTAAATATTTTGTGCTTCAAATAATTTTAGTTTATGGGCTCTTTATAAACCATTCACTGTGGATTTTTTTTATTATTTATCCCATGTGATTAGTCAACTAAATAATCTACTTTCTCCTATGTGATGGGAAAATTTAAACTTTTTAATGATGCTGAATAGCAAATCTGTTATCTCAATTTTTGGCTGATAAGATTTGGTCACCAAAATATTTATATACTGTGGGGTTTTAAAGACAGATTTGCAGATATTAGTCAGTTGTAGGAATATTTTTGAATAGTGAACAGGACCCAAGCAAAATTTTTAAAAGCTCAGTTTTTTATGGTGAAGAGAAAAAGTTTTGAGGGTGCTTTTCTTTACTTATAGTGAACTATTGCAATTTCAGTCTTCGATTTCACTTTCAGTCTTTGATTTCACTAATATGATAATTTTTAATAAAATAAATTTTCTTTGTTCAGATAAAGTCTAGAACATCCTTTTTTTTATCTTCTGCAGGTACTGAACCTATTTTTGGCTTTGCTCTTGAGCTCATTTAGTGCAGACAACCTTGCCGTGACAGATGATGACAATGAAATGAATAATCTGCAAATTGCTGTAGCAAGAATGCAGAAGGGAATAGATTATGTGAAAAGAAAAGCACGTGAATTCATCCAAAAAGCTTTTGTTAAAAAACAAAAAGCTTTAGATGAAATCAAACCACTTGAAGATTTGAACAACAAAAATAGCTGTATTTCTAACCATACAACTGTGGAACTAAGCAAAGACCATGACTATATTAAAGATGCAAATGGAACAACTAGTGGCATAGGTACAGGCAGCAGTGTGGAAAAATACATAATTGATGAAAGTGATTACATGTCATTCATAAACAACCCAAGCCTCACTGTGACAGTGCCCATTGCTGTGGGTGAATCTGACTTTGAAAATCTGAACACAGAGGAATTTAGTAGTGAATCAGACCTGGAAGAAAGCAAAGAGGTATTTAGATATTTTGTGCATTTCTCTTTGATCTTTTGAGTATTTTTATTTTTTTCAGAATAAGACAGTGTATTCAGTTCTTAATAATTTGTTATTTCAACAGTTCTTTGTACAGGGGCAGAAATGAGTGTATAAAGGAGGGTTCAATCAGCTCTAAAAGTGAGGGGTTTCTGTGGGGAGTCTGGTTGGTTGGTTGGTTGGTTTGTTAGTTAATAATCTTAAAATTATAAATTACACTGTTAATTTCAAAGAGCTTAATTTTAGTGTGCAAGAAGTGGCTGACAATAATATTACAGAAAATCTGCTTCTTAGAAGAAAACAACAGAGAAATAAAATGAAAAGGTTTTTTTCAAAAAATGAAAAAGGTTTGGGAAAGTTTTGAAAAGTATTTCCATAATTATTTTGAAAAGTGGTAAATCACACTGCAAAGGATGATCTGTGAAAATTGGATTACTAAAAGTATACAATATTTTTGTAAAAATATCAGAGAGGAAACTCTGTAATATAATTTGGAAAAAACCCTCTATAAATTGGTTCTTATTACAAATAATGACAGAGCCAGAAACTGGATACATCAACTCATTTTCCTGATAAAGGTGAAAAATTGTTCTTCCAGTCCCTATGGTTACCACAAGATGAAATTAACTAAAAGCTGTCTACTTAGAATATTACAAATTTTATTAAGCACTATGCAACTCAACTGTTAATGAAAAACAGACTGGCTACTGCTTTAGTAAGAGTTTTGTTTTTAGGGCTTGGGGATTTTTTGTTCTCTATCAAAAAGCCTGCTGCATCCTAGCATTGATGAACCTATATTGCATTTATTCCATTATTTTGTTTACCTCTACATCCTTAAATCCTTAAATATGTTTCCTTCACAATTTTTACCCAGTCTTTAGCCACAATACCAACCAGCTAGATTGCAACCAGGCCCAAGCTATGTGTTACAATACTTTTAGACTTTTTAGGATGAAGATTAGCTTAAGTGCATCCAGTTTTTTAAAATTTTGTTTCCACCTTCCACTTCACTCTCTTTATGCTCATCATGTTATTGAAAATTTGATTAGGTTATAAAATACAATCTGTTTGTTTACAGGCCATCTTTAATCTACCTCAGCTTTATTGTACGTAGCTTCTACTTCACTCTGAGCTAGACTTTCAGCAATTTTGATCGCAACTTGCTGACCTCTAAAGTAGAGCCTTCTCTGCTGATCAGTGCTTTTTTCTCCTCACTCCTCTGAGCTTACACCTCACTTATATAGTTCTACTATTACCTACTTTTCAGAAGATACTACAGATTCCTGTGTATATATTTAGGCTTCATTATTTCTACGTAGGTCAAGAGATCTTTGCCACTTATGGCTAGTTGTGGTCATAAATCTTTGCAGGCTTAGCATCATCATTTATATTTTTCAGTTTAAAATATAATTTTGTTTAAAGCCTTATCTGTCACTGGTACATGTTCTATTTAATGGATCCATACAATGCTGAAGGAAAACTGCAGATTGTACAGATTTCATGAGTTTATCAGCAATTTACTTATGTTGAATACTCGAACATTCAAAAATCATGGCAGAATTATTTACTTACTCTGAACATTAAACAAATGTTTAAAACATTTTTTAAAAATATTTACTGTGGATTTGCAATGCTTTTTTTTTTTCCTTTACAGAAGTTAAACTTGTCTAGTTCATCCGAAGGTAGCACAGTTGATATTGGACTTCCTGCAGAAGAGCAACCAGAAGCTGAACCTGAAGAATCCCAGGAACCAGAGGCCTGCTTCACAGAAGGTATTTGGCACAAAAAATACAAATAATATTTATTCATTAAATATGGTATTATTATCTATTTAAACTAAGTATTAATATTTATGTATTGAATTACTCATTTGTTAATATTTAAGCTATGATTATTAGTGGTAATACCTTTAGACCATAATTTAGCATATAGATACTGATACCACAATTATACTATAAGAGGTTAAATAAATTAAGAGCACAAGTTAGAGAAGTTAGGTGGTACTAAAACTCATATAGGAATTTTAGAATTTTTTCATACAATAAATGCAACATTGTCTGAATTTAGTATCTCAAACAAAAGAAAGTACAATTTAATAACACCCATATCTTGCTATATAAATATACTCTACATTTTGGTGAGTTTGTATATTTTTACTCATACTTTGTGTTTTGAAATTTGGCTTCATGTTTCACAGACTTCCCTCTTTTTTTTTTGTGCACTGCATTGAGTACTTAGTACTCGCTAAAATATAAATATTTTCTTCTCACTTGTTCATTTAATTGTAAATTCCAGTTGTCTCAGTGTTGAATGTTTTTGCTGTGGAGACAAATAAAGTGAAAAATCTATTGGCACAGCTTCTGGAAAGGTAGCATTGTATGATTAACAGAATGCATAACCAAAATTAATGCATTTCATCAAAATATCTTCTCTCCTTCCCCCACGCCCCTCCTAATACATACACCATTATAAAGGCTGTGTACAACGGTTCAAGTGCTGTCAAGTAAGTATAGAAGAAGGGAGAGGAAAGCAGTGGTGGAACCTTAGAAAAACCTGCTTCAGGATTGTCGAACACAACTGGTTTGAGACTTTCATTGTCTTCATGATTCTCCTCAGTAGTGGAGCTCTGGTAAGTAAAACATCACAATGTTGTCAGAAAACTTCTTAAAAGTTGACTCTTCAAACATTGTTTTGACTTAGTTTTCTCTGACAGAAAGAACATACAATTCCATGTCTTCAAATGACACGACTATATTTCAGTCAACAACAACAACAACAAAAAAAAAAGAACAGACATAATTGATTAGAGAGAGCTTAAGTCCTTTGCTGAAAGTGATAGTGATACACATGAAGCAGGAGAGGGACAACAGGCAAAGAAAAGAACATATTTAACTTTGTTATTTGAGTTTGCTCTCTAGTTTTACTGGTGATATAACTCAGGGAAAAGTACTGTCAATGCTGAAAAAAAGAAGAGTTTGGAAGTAACTGTAATGGCATAAACAGCTCATAACTTGCAAGAGCCAGAGTTGGCTTATACAGTCTTACAAATGTTATGTGCTAGAACAGCAAGAAAGATTAAGAGTGTATGTTTGTAATTATTCCCTTCTAAGAATAAGAATTTATTATTTATGCTTCCAATTCAGCTTCTACTGACTCATACTGATATAGATTAAAGGGATTTCTGTAAAAACATGAATTTGCTTTTACAAGTATGTGGGGGCAGAATAAAAAGCCAACCATAATATAAATCTACAACAATAAAAGAAACAAAACATACCAATAACATGTTATTTCACAAATGCAAATAGTGACAAAGAATAAAGAAAGTGGAGATGAACTGTTAAATAAAGGTGAGCCTGGATACATATTGACCTGAAGTGGAAAACAGGAGGTTCAACCTAAACATAAGGAAATAATTCTTTATGGTGAGGGCATCAGAGCACTGGAACAGGCTTCTCAGAGAGGCTGTGGAGTCTGTCTCTGGAGACATTCAAAACCAGCCTGGATGTGTTCCTGTGTAATCTACTCTATGTGATCCTGCTCTAGCAGCAGAGTTGGACTAGATCATCTTCAGAGGTCCCTTCTAACCCCTACCATTCTGTGTTTCTGTGAAAAGCAGGCTGAGTAAAAATGAGTTTTAATATCAATGAATATCCAAATATTTGCAAGCTAGCAGGTCATTCCAGTTATTTCAATCCAATAAAATCAATTATTCTCCATAAGAAATAATAGCATAATTAAAATTTAAAAGCAATTAAAGGGAAAATTTCTTGTAGGATAGGAATAATTTCTGAAGCTAGAAGTTTTTTCAAATGTCTAAAAATGAAAACACAAAAAGTGTAAATAACATTGCAAGGATCTCAGAAATTTTATGTATCTCATAAAATGTGAATCATACAGTAAAGCAGGTATTTAATTTAGATATTTATTTTTTTTTAAGAAATTAAGACCTTGTTTTATGATTTATTACTTAAAATTTTCAAAAAACAACAGGACTTAAAAACAAAAGGTCAATTATATTGTCATTGCCCTGAAAATTTTACAGCTATGGCCCTGGATTTTGAAAATGGATGGACCTGTATACAAACCAAATGATCTTAGTAGAATTCAGTGCAAGCACAGCACTCTGCAGAATCAATGCTATTTGTGAGTACTGAAAATTATCTGAGAAGAATAATTGACAATCGGCAATAAATGAACAAACAAAAATCTCTGACCAATTGGATGATTGCTGTGTACTATCTGCTTCTCCCTCATGTGAGCCAGAAAATATAGTTCTATAAGAGAAAAACGGGTATATACTGAGTTAGCAGAAACATTAGATGAAAGCGACATTCCCATGACTTTTCTTGAAGAAATATTGTTTCCTTTTTTGTTGCTTTTTTGTTGTTGTTTTGTTACAACCTGAAGTATGTGCAGCAACAAAAGTGAATAACAAATATGTTTGAATGTTTTTACTCACAGGCTTTTGAAGACATATATATTGAACAGCGTAAAACTATCAAGACCATGCTGGAATATGCTGACAAGGTCTTCACTTACATTTTCATTCTGGAAATGCTGCTGAAGTGGGTGGCCTATGGCTATCAAACATACTTTACTAATGCCTGGTGCTGGCTGGACTTCCTGATTGTCGATGTATGTAGTATATTTCCTAGGTGTTATTTTATTTATTCTATCTGGTTTTGGTTTTTTTAATTGCTTGCTCTAAACCCATAATATCTATGTATACCAACTAGTTTACTTCTCAATTTAAAAAGTAAAGTAGATGGAAAAAATTCTGTATTTCTCTTTATGCATTATACTTACACCTTCACTTTACACTTACAACACTGCCTTCCTATACCACAGAGTTAAGAAAGACTGGAAGTTCTCCTGCTAACAGACAAACTTCACATGTTAGCCCCAGAAGCAGTTAAAGGGTTTCTCCCAACACTGCTGTTGAAAGAGGTCATGTTATCTTTGATTCTGCCCTTGACTGCTCATTCCCACCTTCAGACCCACCTTCACCCCCGCTGTGGTCTAAGTTGCACCCAAGCATTTCAATGGGTGTCTGGTCCACCAGACATCAGACACACATCTGAATTAAAACTCCTCTGGCAAGAAAATGAACATCATGTCCACAAATTTCGACATATGGCTGAATTAGGGTTTTACAAGGAATGCAAGATGTACCTGTATCATTGGTAGTGTGGCTTACTTAGTATTAAAGTCCAATAAATATTATTGAACTTGGAGTCTTCACAACCGTGTTTGAAACCAGGCTCAATAATCTTTCCTCTGCAAAGGTTATCTCATAGTTAGAACTCTATTGTTCTGTGCTGTGAAAAGGGGGAAACCATTTCTTGATGCATAGATACAATTATGGAGAATTTAAGAAGCAATTTCCTAAGTATACTAGCTTGAGGAAATCTCTAACATGCAGAAATGCATACTGTTTCTGCAGTTTATGACATTCTGTGTGAAACTAAAATACTATGTTTTACATAGTTACAAAACCACAACCAGTCACTACATTTTTAAGAAATTAAGAAATTTTTAGTTAAACTTATTGGAAAAACATATATTAAACAAGTTCACTTTTAAAATTATGATGCATTTTGTCCGGATTTCATTGACTTAGAAACAAACACTGAATAGGTAAAAGGTGAACTTCAATAGCAGTTATTGGCTCAAAGAATTGCTGAAAATAGAACAGTTTCTGAATTTGTTTCCAGCATACAAGGGCTAATCAAAGCAGTTCATTTTCTCAAGCTTTATTTTGTGACTGGTGCCTATAACCTTTTTGATTTATTTGATGTGAAAATTTAAATATTTATTTGTATAAAGGTATGACACATATTCAAGTGTCTGAATAAGCTCATGATTAAATCTTGGATTTGCACACCTGGATATTTTATTTAATTTGGCTTTAGACTATGGCAGTCTTGAAATCTTGAAAGTTTCCAGTAGTATGATGAATGTACTTGAGAAAGAAATTCAGATTTCAGAGGAACCTAGTTTTGTGGGTTGCTAGAGCTCAGGATTGACAAGTAAAGAAAAGCTATTAACTTTTAAAAGCTAAAGATTTCACATATAATGCTTGTTTTTAAATATGGTTCATAAAGAGCACTGTCCTAGAGTTCTCTTTACCTGATGCATTGTTCTTTATAATGAAAGAGTACCTAAGCCCATTATGCTATTTTTGGCTCAATAAATAGTTAAGGAATCAGAACAGCATAATGAAAGTGCATTTAGGGGATGGAAAGAAAAGAGCCATAGCAAATGTAGAGAATATGGTATTTATCACTGAGGTAATGTAGGGACAAAGAGTATATAAAGGTCTGTGGAGTTCTGCGGCCTCTTATAAGGTCTTTAAGAAACAGCATAACCCAGGTTAATGTCAGCCTGTATAGCACATAAATTCAGAAGTCAGGCAAAAGGATTAGTCAGCATAACTGAATATAGAAAAATTAATCCTTTCTACCAATTTCCAGAGGAGCAATGTTGCTCTGTGACCCATCTGTTAATTCAAAACAGGCTTCAATCATTTCCCTTTCAGTTGTGGGCAATCAAATGGCCATTATCAACTATAATTACTGATCCCGACAGCATTGTAAAGCAAAGAAAAAGTGAGAGCAATACCTAAATTGGTAAAAAGGAGAGTTTAATTTAATTTGTTTTTTGTAGTTTTAAATGCCCTCACATCACTAGCGAAATATGAAATTGAGTAGTATTACTTGTTACCTTTTGATATTTTTGTTTATTTACCTATCTTACTCTTCTGTCATATCACTTTAAAAAACAAAAAAACAAAAAACAGAACATTATTATTCCCAAAGAAAACAATCCAAAATTAGATTCTTCTAAAGAAGTTTATATTTCGCGTCTATGGTATGTAAAGCAGCATGTACAATATAATAATTTTTAATTTCCTGTTTTCATATAGGTCTCTTTGGTTAGCTTAACAGCAAATGCATTGGGTTATTCTGAACTTGGTGCCATTAAGTCCCTTAGAACACTAAGAGCTTTGAGACCATTAAGAGCTTTGTCACGATTTGAAGGCATGAGGGTAAGACAACATGAAAGAATCTGAAAATATGCATGCATAGAAGGAATCCATGCATGCAGAATAAGGAATGACAAGTCCATGCAGAAAGGCTGCACTATCTTTTTATCTATTGCATATCTTTTATGGACAGATAAGCAAAAAGCTTCATCGATTCACCATATGCAGTATCACATAGAAGTTACATTCATTAAGGTTACTTTACTTTCTAGCCAATCTCAGGAGTTTTCCATACAATGCTTTGAAATTGCCAACTATGAATTCTCTTAACAAATGATTAATTATTAATAAAATGTAACAATATTTTATTATTTTTACTGATAAGCATATTAAAATATTTTTACAGAAATCTAATTTAGCATTCATTAATAAAGATATTTTCTTTTGCCAGTTGAAATCCTTCATTTTTCTTTATATTTTATAAACCACCTTTGGTCTAACCCCACTGAATTTTACTAGATGGTACTAGAGATACATTCATACCCACTAGTGGTTTAAATCTGTTTCTGAGTTTGGCTGACTTTAAAAACAAATCAAGTTATTTGATTTATCTATGAAATTATTCTTTTTGTAAGATAAATGCTTTTCTTTTTTCAACAAATCTCTATTCAATATTCAATACAATGTATATAAGGTTATTTTTAACTTATTCTGAGTAACTTAGAGGCTCTGCTTACTATTCATCTCACTCGAGAAAGCATTTTAACTTACTTTTTCATTTGTTTATACCTTCTGTTCCTTAAAGCCACTGAATACAAACTAACTCTATTATGCATGTCATTGAAATATGTTTTAAGAGAATGCTTTTTTGCTACTTCATGGAAACATAAGAAGAAACAATCCACTAATGAATTTCAAGTCAATTATAAACCAGTGGAATAGCCTGCAATATACTATCTGAACAACTTTTAGATACTAATCTAAGCTTAATCAAGTCAAATTGAGGCTTAGAATTCTGTTCCTTAAATTATATTCTACATATCTCTACTTCAGAATGCATCAGAAAAAAAATATTGCTAACCAATGATTATTAGATTAATAAATTTAAGTTTCATACAGCAAATTGACTTTTAACAGTTTTCTCACATTTGAAATTCATGAATTGATATTCAGCAGGGTAAGAGCTGGTCAAGTACTACAGAATGTACAAATTTTCGTTTAAGTTTGGAATGACTATTTGACTTTGCTATTTTCTCTTTGCCTTTCATTGTACTTACTGTTCCTGAACATTCAGATAGATGTGATTTTGTGCAGAGGAATGTCGGGAAATTGCTGGCAGCTTTACTTTTTCAATACTGTTCTGTTCAGGTGCAGGAGGACTGGGAGACCAGTATAGAAGTTACACAGTGACAAGAAATGCAGCTCTTAAAAATTAGGTTGGAAAAAACAGATAATTTCTAGAAAGATAATGTCAAAATTGATTGCCAAATGTTTTATTCCATTTTTCTGTATCCTTACATAATTGCCTTAGAAAAATTTCCGTTTAAAAGATTGAGGATATTGATGCTCAAAGTACCTGTTACTTGAAATCTATTTACTGCTCCCCCTTATTTCTCACTGAATAACTATGAAACTATGCCAGAAGCCCAATCATATGATAGAATTTCAAGTACACAACGTGAATAATTCACAAGCAATTTGCTGTGTAGGAATCGCAGACAACCGAAAAGCAAAAAAGGTTTCAGCTCTGTCCTTCAATATTAATGATAATCAATTTTCCAGTCACCTAGCAAATTTGACTGGCCAACTGTAGAGGCCTTATATTTACTATTAGTTATATGTACTTCTGAAAATGTTTTTTCCAAAGCACTTGGCAAGTATTCACAGCAGCTCATTGAAAGATGAGCATTACCTTATGGATGACTCATGAACAGTAAAAAGATTCAAATGAGAAATAATTGACCAGCTCATGATAAGACTATAGTGAAATTACAGTCTTCTCAGAAACTGAGTTCATTTCATAAAAATTCATAAAAACACATTATTTTATCTGCCAACAGAAAGTCAAAATAAATCAGCCCGCTTTGATTTCTTATATTGCCTACACCCACACTGAAATGTGACAAAATAATCTGAGTTTTTATTCAGCATGTATTTAGAATTTTAATGCTTACCCCCATTCTCAAAACTGTGCAAATTTTGTCTTGAATATGTAAGAGATCATATGTATTCCACAAAAATCCCTGTATGTAAAAAGCTCTGAAAAAAACAATCTGCTAAGTTCTCAGCTACTTGAAATCAATCTTTTTCTTAAATACATTTACCATTCTGGTGAATTGGAAGAATACAGCACTTTACATAGTCAGCAAATACTGATAACTATTCTGTTACCTCTAAATACGAAATGTTTCACTTTTTAAGTTATATTCTTATAAGTCTACAGTTATACTCTGTGGTTACAACTCAATTTTGTAATTGCGCTGTTTCATAAATAAGATAAATTTTATTTCCAGTATGAATATAAGATATACGAATTACTTGCACCAGAACAGTGTACAAGTGCTCCATAGCCTGTGCTTGCCTTGAACACAGAAGTGAGTTTTGCCATTTTAAAGGCATTTAAAATATCTACTAGTATACTGAATTCTGAGAAATTTTACTGCTTTCTATAGTGAATCTCAAAACCAACTCCACCCAGATGCTGGAAGGCAAAGTAAAGAATTGCTTTAATTTAATTTAAATTTCTGTCTCAGGGTTTATATTCTCATCTCAATTAGTGTATGTACTGAGCAGAAGTATCTGCAGACTGAGATGTGAATATACCCATTGCTTTTTGTTTAGCTTTTTAGTACTTGCAATATAATGCTTTTGCGCTAGCTCTGAATTGGTATGCTACTTGTAAACGTAGAATACTGAGTATACATTGCTTTGCTGAGTTAGAGAATTAAGTGACAATAAAGCATGCATTTGTGTCTAATTTCACAAAGTAAAGCATGTCATGCCATGCTTGATTTATTTATTAGAGAAATAGTAGAAGGCAGCAAACAATCTGAAATCCACTTGCACTTTCAGTTTTGCATGCCTTATGCATATTTCTGGCTGATGGCTTTAAACATTTACTATATTTCAAATTTCCAGTCCAATTTCATAACTTGTAAAACTAAATTAGAGTATTTGATGTCCTAAATATCCTCTAAAATTTGATGGCTATTCCTTAGATTCCCTTACCAGGAAAGTGATAATGAGATATTTTCAAGACTACTCCAAACTTCATTAGTAGGAAAGAAACATTTCTCATACAATTGAGTTATAAAACATAACATCAAGTGTCTGTCATTACAGATTCACAACTAATAACAGGCTATATATTTCTATTTCATATAGGATAACCTTTCTTCAGCTTGGATGGGGTGGACCACTGGTTCCTCCCCTTATCTGTATTATGGGTACACTATTTCCCCCTTTTCTACCCTTAATGATTACAGGGTGACTAATCACTACATTTTTATTAAGGGTTAGAAGGAAAGACAATCTTATCTGAGAATCCAGTAGGAGCAAAAGTAGATTATATATATTCACCCTACACCCCCTTCTTAATTGCTTAAAATCTTTGGAAATAATCTTTTAGAATTTTTGATGTTACAGAAATAACATGAAAACTATTGCGAAAATCAGAATTGCTATTTAGATTTATCTGAGTTCTTTTTGCAAGAGAAAAATACCTCAGCTATTTTTAGACTTTTAGATGCTTTTTAAACTGAGATAAAAAATGGCTTTAAAAATTTGAATTTAGCTTTTGCAATGTTTTGGAAAGGTCTGTGTTTTACTCCATTATTCAATTTATAGCTACATACATTCAGAAAAATCACATAGAAAGTTTTGAATATTACCTGTAGTACATTAAGCGCACACCAATAGACTATGATCTGAATAGTTACAACTTTAGATGTTTATCTCATTTTAAATTTTTGCATAATTTTTAAACCCCTATGTTACATTAAGTAAATCACTCCAAGTGTATATAGGTAACACAAGACACTATGTAACATATAGCCCTTTTTTAGAATCTGAATTCACTCTTCTTTGGCCTGTGTTGGAAACTGGTTTTTGTAATTTTTTTTTTTTTTTTAAATACCAACAGCAGTATTATTTTTGCAGTATCTTTCTTGGCGTTTAGAAATGTCCTGCAGAAAACATATGTCAGTGATATAAAAAGATTTGCATTCACTCTCACATCCTTAGAAAAATCAAGTCTTTAGACTACCAACCTTGCAAGCAGCAACTGTATAAGGGTATCATTAGTGCAAGGTTTTTTAATAGCTTCTGAGTAAATGATGTATCAACATAAACAGCATTCATTGTAAATTTAGCATCTTATATCACAGTTAAAAATTATGTATTCACTCTGAAGAAAATGTATTCACTCTCTTCTGCAAGTTTCTCTTAAATATAGAGGAATATATTCTTTGATCAAAAGATTATGCACTTTGAAGGATTTTTTGAGGACTAGGATCTTATTAATTAACTTTGAGTTTTAAGGAAAGTCTATTAAAAGTGTAATGTCTCCTGAAAGACAATTTAAAAAATTACTAACTTCGATATGAGAAGACTCTCTCTATATATATGTTCATAAAACATACAGGAAATATCTTAATATTTTGAGATTTTATTTAGACTGTAATTCTACAACTAAGAGAGACCTTCTGAAGGAATTTCTTTTATAACTGAAACTGGTATGATTTTTGTCTGGATTTGTGTATGTTGTATCTTGAAGAAAATCCTTACTTTTAGCATAAAAATTTAATGATATTTGAATAAGATACATAATATAGTTTACATTTTAATTAAAAATATTAAAGAACACATAAAGGTCCATAACATGTCATTTTTGCAACAGGAAGAATTAAAAGTTATGTTTTTTTCACTGCATCCGGTGAAATTCAAAGATACTGTTTCCACATCAAATAATTGCTCTGGTTTCTTGCTTGTGTGTATTTACAATATTTACCAGGTCTTCTCAAACAAATGCAGCCATATGATTTATTGCTTGGCAGATAATGGTT